TAAGAAAATTGAAAATCTCTAATAACAGTTAGGCCCAGATTGCTTTAAAAAATCACAACAGTAAAAAAACCCAGAACAGAAAGGTATCTCGACATCAAGACGTTAAGTGCAGGAAAAATCACAGACGAAAAATATAAAAGAAAAATTCCACTCGAGATACTGTTAGCACTTCCGACATCGTGTCCTTTCGTGAGGTGGTGGGGCACCTACAAATAAATGGGGTTTTGGAACGAACTTATGAATACAGGAGTTATCACGTAATTTATGTTTCCTGGGATTTTCCTTTAAAGTGTTTTTTAACAAACGTATGTTCGCGTTTCTGTACCCTAAAGTGGTGTTTGAATGGATTTTAGAGCAGAGGTTTGACGTTTGAGAAAATGATTGTCAGTTTTTGTCTCAAAAAGCATGTTTTGCTCCGTTTGTATGCCTCAGTTTTAGTAGGAAACCCGCATTCTATTTCTGCTGTGTTATATTATTAAGTAGCTGCCATGTTTTGGTTTGAAATATGTTTTGAAAGTTTTTATTGGAAAGATAATTATTTTGGCCTTTTCTTACCTTTATCGGCCGTTTTCTCAAGATGCTATTTTTGCACACTTCATTTCATTTTTCTTTCTGAAGCCCATTTTGGGGGTGGGGCTGGTCAATAAAAGGGAAAGATTAAAAAACAGAAACCAAGTAGCAGAAATGTGGTTTTGTCGAGATCTGGTTCAGATAAAAAGAAAACACATAAACCAAACTGTCCCGAAATTATTTGCTACACAGCATTATATAGCACGTAGTATGCTTCTCATGCACAGCGTATGCTGTATGCTTTCTAAGATCTGCAAAAAAAGAGGCTAAGTTCAAGTACCTTGGTCATGCAAACAGAATTCTATACCATTAACATAATATGTAGAAGTTTACACAGACCTGCGCGATAACAACTACTGTATGACTGACTGTGGTGTTGTCGAAATAGAGGCACAGGGGACAAAAGGAAGACCACATTATTATTTTTATCAAACACTGTAGGCTGGGCTAGCCTACCCTGACAGAACACGTAAAAAACCTGACAGTCGTCTACAACTTCATGAATTAAAGTAAAGATACATGACGTGTATACATATCTAAATCAAAAAGAGACCAGGGTTTTTTTGGGGTT